TTTAGTTTAGTTCTTGCAGTGTTCACTAGATGGCGGTACCGTCCCCTGTATGTAGCCACCTCTAGTTTAGTTCTTGCAGTGTTCACTAGATGGCGGTACCGTCTCCTGTATGTAGCCACCTCTCGTTTAGTTCTTGTAGTGTTTACTAGATGGTGGTACTTGTAGCTGATGATGAAAAGATGCAAGATGTTATAAATTAGACAGCGGTACTTGTAGTTGATGAAAGACGCGAGATCTTATAATATAAAATAGGAATGATGTCACATATGGCGCGTGTCATTGGTTGAAGGCAATCGTTCGATTTAGTGCGGCGACGTACGCTAGGGGGAGCGATGTAATAAAATCGAGTGGGCAAAATGTACAGAGGATTCATGGTTTACCAGGTTTACCTCCGGAGCTTCGCCCACTCATCATCATTCACTTCGTGGATATGGCGGAATTTTTTTTATGTATTCAATAGCTTCGTCCCCTTCAAGCCTAGCACTTTGAGCTGTAGTTATAAACCACTGCTCTAGGCTGGTCTCATTTCTTAAGGAGTTTAGGTGGTTCAAAAATTTCGCTGTTGCCTTTCTATCTTTTTTATGTACGACTGCCAGCCATTGAGCTCCCTTTCGTCTAATCTTTTCATCGATCAACAGGGATCCATTCCTTCTACAGGTTAGAAAGACTTCCCATTTTCTTTCAACATCATCTGTCGGTTCACCCCGCTGCTTAGCATGTCTGTGTTCCCTAGAGGCTTCCTGACGTTTTGCTATGACTCGCTTATTTTCCTGATCCCACCAACTTTTGGGTTTCTGTCTCCTTTTCCGGGGTGACTTGTCACGTGCCTTATCAAGCTCTAGCTCAAATATTCTAATTAGATTCGTATATGTCCACTCTGTTCTATTATCATCAGTGATTACTTTCACAATTTTTTGAGTAGCTATTTGTATTTGCCTTTCTGAATAAAAATTTTGCTGTATTTGCTCATCTTGTCTCCTTCCCACTTTCATTGCTTTTCCAAAACTTAGCTTGATACGTTCGTGATCACTACCCAGACTTCTGGAGCCACCTTCATCTATCTGCATTCCCTTGAGCTTATCATACATCCTATGTGACATCAGTGCGTAATCTATCGTCGACTGGAACCTTCCTACCTCCCATGTTATTTGCCCTTCACACTTCTCGGTACTCTTGCAAAGGATCAAATCATGCCTTTCACACATGTCCATGATCATTTTGCCTGTCGGGTCGGTATACCCATCTATATCTTCTATGTGCGCATTCATATCTTTTAGTTTATTTATCTGGCACTCTCCAACTAACTCCTATATGTCTTTTGATATACACTCTACCATTGCCGGGTTTTTCTCTCTGGCCTTTGCTCCCGCCCACAAATACACGAAACCAAGGAGTGTCGTTTGCCCGGCCACTTTTCCTTTTAGCCTTAACGGTTTCTTGCCCTCCTGTCTGACCCTTTGCCAGTCTCTACTTTCATTAATGAATGCCTCAATACCACCCCCTTTTCTGCTGCCTTCTGTTCTATTACAAGATTCACACACATAGTCCGGATTTTTAGGAGGTTGTTCCATGTCCCTAAGATGTGTTTCTACAAAATTATATATCATCGGCCTGTCCTCCCTTAGCTGTTCTATCTCTTCCCACTTTAGCCGGTTCCTGCCACCCTGCATGTCATTATACCCTTTGTCTGAATGGGCTCGGTGCTCGTGGCTACGTCTATTTCTGCTCTGGACTCTACCTATCTTAGATACTTGTGCCACTTTGGAATCGTATCTCTCCATACCACCTGTCAAAGAATCTCCCTGGTTGTTTTCCTTGTTACTAGCTATCCTGTACCTTGAAGGACCTTCGTACCCCGCAAAAAAGCTACTGTGCGTCCTGCAAGTCGCCAACCCACGTCATGACCTTGCCGCCCATCGAAGTGAATTCTGTCTCGTTGAAAACCACCCCACCTATGCACCTCTCTGTTTATATCCACCACCTCAAAGCCTTTCTCTCTACTCATCCGTCATATTTCTTGGTTTGCGGTGACAAGCGCTCTTTGCAGGTTGCTGTCACGTAGTGGTACCTCTGGTATCGTGCATATCACTCTGTACTTGAGGAGTAGTGGCGCGCATGTAATCGACCCCTTTCGCCAGTGTGTTTGCTAGTCCTGCTTATCTCCATTTAAGACATTGTTCAAACCGCCAGAAATTATCACGAGGTTTCCTCTATCAGCTCTATTTTTGAGTTTTGCGCTCGCTTGCCTCATGACTGCTTCCAGCATGCGTCCTGGGAACGCCCATACTACAACCGTCTTGTCACTTCTTACCCTCTCTTTGATTGCTTCTGTGCATCGATTTCAATTCGAGTCCCCAGCAATTATCGCATGCTGCGACTTTTCAGCTGTAGCGTCCTGCACCTGGGGTTTACTTTCACCTGTAACGCCGGCTCATTTGTCCCCTCCCAGCCACACCACTACTTCGCTGAAGCTGGGCCTTGCAACAATTGAACCAGCTGAACCTGTTTTTTTTTTCAAACTTGCTTGCTCTTTCCACTTCGCCCTTCTGGTTGCCGGTTCTCTACTGTTCTCTCCGTAGGCCGCTCCTTTCTTCAGCTTCACTAGTGCTTCCTCGGCAGACTTCAGCGTTTCTTCCATTGCCCTCGTTTTCTCTTGCTCTGTCACCAACGCAGTCTCCAGCTCGGTGATTGTCATCAGCAGTTCACTCTGGGCAACCATCAATTTCTCGATTTTTTCCTTGACCTCACATTGTCTATACTTCACGTCAGCCTCTTGTCCATCTGCGTCTACACTTGGGTCCAAATTAAAACCCACCCCGCATCCTGAACACTTTACACTCTTTTTAGCCATGCCTTTCTGACACCAATGGTCCCTATGACTTGTCTCACTCGATAAAAACAAAACTCGAGCCCTGCCCTACAAAAAAATAAAAGCTAAGCTCTACTACAAACATTTACGTGTTCAATGTATGTGCACCTCCCCCACGGGGTGGCCCGAGAAAAAAAACAACGAAAAACCAAAAAGTTAAACACATACACACGTGCACAAACTAATTGTACCTAGTGACCGACCCCAGAAAAAGCCGTAAAATGTAATAGGTGCTACAAAGATTTTGGCTACTGCCTTAATATTTATAAAAATAAGCTCAAAACATTCAAAACCACTTATCGGAGCAGTCGATCGGGAGTGCTCAAGAAACACGCCCATCCACCGTGACAGATCGAACCGAACAAAGCAAGCGGTGACTACCGCCATCTACTGCGCGCGCGTGAAAACAATTGGTCTGTTCAAACCAGGCCAGGTTAGATGACGTCAGCGAGTAGGCCGCCGGAGTGCGGAGGCATGAAGTAGTCTGGGGGGTGTTGGTAGTACACGGGAATGGCTCACCGCCGCCCCTCGTACTAAGAGCCGTAGGCGCTGCCAATTTCGTGTTGTAATTCTAGTCTTCCATCGCTGAGGCACGCAACGGCACAGTGCCGAAAGAAAACAGTGAAGCTGCAGAACCAACCATTTATAGGGTAAGTGACAGCGAGCATCCAAAACCGCTTTCGACCGCAAGTGATGTGAAATAAACTCAGCAACCGTTAAGACCTACGCTTTCGACACATATCATCATCTTTGAAGCGAAACAGCTGCGTAAGAATGCACATTCGGAACTCCAGCCACCTGCTCTCAACAACGCGGTAATGTGAGTGGTGATACAGACCACACGAGATGACGGCATGAACAAGAGACCCCCCAACATCCTGCAAGACTTCCACCACACTTTTCGCTCTGCAGCTTTGATTGCGAAAGCCTCTCCTCAGTTTTCCTTTCTCCATGGGACAATCTTTCATTCTTAAGGGAGCCTCGCAACACTTCTCGAGAAGGGTCAAGGAATGCTGATAGGCAGTTGAGGGACCCAAGGACACGTGCGCCAAACAACCTGGCGCCGCACGCGGCGTGGCATTTACAACTGATTCTGAGAATGGCTAAGTGGTTTTGCATTTCACAAATGTAGACGGAAATCAAACTGAAAATGGCAGAAACCACAAATCTAGGGTCATTAGCTGATTGCAACGTGCCTCGAGCAGCATTTTTCCTGCGGCAGCCGTAGGATACCACGGCATGTGCCCTCGAATGATAAAGTTTGAAAAAAATGGCTTTGGGTGAACTCAGTTATTCTTGGGTTGCGTAGCGGGAAGTACGATTCACCTTATTCCTTATCTTGGTTCTCCTTACGCTTGCGCTTCTCGAGGCAGGCGGCTCGTTCTTCCTCCATCTGCGGGCTCGGCGCCTCCCCTTCAGTTTGTTTTGATGACGAACCCTATCTTCTTTCAGTCTCCCACTTTCAGAATCGGCCGATGAATCCTATCGAGCCGTCCCATCTATATATATAATCCGATGCCTGTTCCTTCTTTGTTGTTGCAACGCGGTTTCAGCATCTCGCCCTCTGATTTCATGGCAGACAGCACAGCGAGCGGCGTTATAGGATGCAGAGGTTGCTATGTAACGGCACATATCGCAGTGCAGCAATCAACCACAGTGAAACCTCGAGGAATTGACCAATGCAGCTGTAGCATAAAAAAACAAACGCGCTTACGAGCGATTGTAGCTTATTGCCATCTGGGCTTATAACTCCGTCCCTAGCATAGCTTTGAACCACATGGCTGGTACGAAAGGAGAGAGAGTGCGTGACGCCGATCTCTGCAAGTCCACTCGTGCATGAGAGATTCAAAAGTTGATCGTGGAAGTCTATTCTTGAGGCAATAGACTTCTTTAGGTAGCCATAAAATGATCACAATAAAAGTGTTGTCAGATCATTTCATTAAATTTCACGCTGAAATCTGCACCCGTTAATATACACATTGTCAAGGGGCTTTAGAAGTACTAGGAAGTGGGCGTTCTTGCGTCATTCAATCACATTAGTTCATTAGTGCTTTTAAACTCGGACCTAAGTTTTGACACTTACGATGCAGTCAGCTGTGTGTGTTTATTGCCGCCTTATACGTCATTGCAGGTACATCCCGCCGGCGGAACTGGCGGTGGTGCGTTTCCTGGGAATTCTTGTGTTCTCTGCACCATTGGTAATGGCCAGTGGCGAGAATCCATTCGGAACGACGGGCATCCGGGCACTGCTCCTTCTTCGGGGTCTGCTGGGAGCCTCAAGCCTGTTCCTGCGGTTTTACGCCATCCACTATATGCCGATTGCCGACGCGTCCGTCATAATCTTCAGTGTGCCCGTGTTCGTGTCTGCACTGGCAAGGATCTTTCTGAAGGAACCATGCAGTATCTTTCATCTGGCTGCTGTGTTGGTCACCGTGGTTGGTCTGGTGCTGATTACAAAGTTTCCGATATTGTTCACCCGACCGGCTGAAGGTGGATATCCTGTCGATATCCGTGGACTGGTGGCTGCTTTCTGTTCTACTGTATTTGGAGCGAGCGTCTACATTGTGTTGCGAAGGCTCCGAGATGTTCACCTCTCTGTAATAATGTTCAATTTCGCTTGGGTCGCTATTCTAGAGACTGGTACCATTTCATTGCTGACCACTGAGCTGCTCCTTCCACGCACCGTATTCGACGGATCGCTACTCTTCGGCTTGGGTGCTTTGAGTTTTAGTGGACAATTGCTTCTAACGCGTGCTTTGCAGCTAGAGCAGGCTGGCCCCGTTTCCATGGTTCGATCTAGTGCCGACATAATCTTAGTCTTTGCTTGGCAGGTGGCGTTGTTTAGCGAGGTTCCCGACTGCTATACCATTTCTGGCGCTGTACTTGTCACTGCTTGCGTGCTTTTCACGGGATTACGAAAATGGATCGACACCCTTCCGGAGAATTCAGTCACACGAGCAAGAATGGCGTGGCTACTCTTCTAAGTACTTCCAGCTGGTTTGCCTGCATAATCCTTAGTTTCACGCGATATCAAGCTGTTACAAACCGGCGTGTTTCACCTGTTCACTGAAATAAATAGCATGAATAATAAAAGTTGCTCAGCTAGTGCAGTATTCTGCTGTAAAGATAATTTTTGCGTATAGTGTAATGCGAACTGGACTAGCTGCTTGACTGGTTGGATCATGCTTAAGTAAAAAAACAGGTGTATCGCAAAGAGGGCCGGCAGGAAGTGAAGAAACCAATATATGGAATTGGGCTCCCGTGTCTGAAAATCCGTTTCTTTACATGCTGGCCGCTCTTTATGCACCTGATCATTTTTTATAGCGATAGAAAATTTATGTTCTCTCGGCCACGTTTGGCCGTAGATGTCGTATTTATGTCTTGCACACACACACATATATATATACATACTGTAATGGCTTGTATATATATACATATATATAAATATATATATATATATATATATATATATATATATATTTGTATAGGAAAGAAGACGCACGTGCGAATATATTTTATTGACGTTTCGGCCGTGGGTTCGGCCTTCATTAGAATACAGTTTATGGCACGAGTGCTGTTTATATACATGTGCATATCAGTAAGATACAAATATGAAAACCGGCATGAAAGGCGATATATGGGCATATATATATACGCAATTCACACAACATGAAGGGCATCTAATCTACGAGTAAAAAAATATTGCTTCCATGCGCGAGCACGTTGTTTACAAATAAAAATAAAAAATAAAATGCATAAAAAATAAAGCACATAACATGAAGAGTAGTCCAACCGGTAAAAGCAAGCGAAAAAAAGAAAAAAAACTATAAAATACTAGTAAAAATGACAAGGAAGTTACAAAGCTGCTACGTAATCAGACAATGTAGTGCGACTTGCTGAGCAAGGTTGAAAAAAGATGGACAGGGTGATACAGTTTACGCAGATAGGCAACTAAGCTTTCCTACGTTTTCATCCAGACCAGATGCGACGGCGTCGAACTTATAGATGAGGAATGATTCACGGGCTTCTCTATCAAAATTTGTGCGGAAACCAGATTCTAGTAGTGTGACCTGTAGGTTTTCAAAAGAGTGGCCAGGGAGGTGCACATGTCTTGAAATGGGCAAGTGGGGCAAGGTGTTAGCATGAGATTGATGGTTGTTGAAACGCAGTCTAAAAGGCCCTTCTGTTTGACCAATGTACTGTATTTCACATAGCGCACATCCTATCATGTATATCACGTTCTTAGAATCGCAGTCAAGATTGCCTTTGATTTTTAAGGAAAAGTTGGAACCAGTACTGGTGACCTGTTCGCATGTGCGCATGTAAGGGCATACTTTGCATCGCGGTTTTTGGCAAGGATAGCACCCGATCGTGTCAGGGCTGTCTGCTTTCGACGATGATGACGATGAGAGTATGTCTCGAATAGTTTTAGCTTTGCGATACACTGCTTTAGGTGGTTCGGTGAAAATGTTTCTTAAGCATTCACTTTGCATTAGATTATTGTGGTGCTTTCTCTGCACATACGAAACACGCGGAACTGACGCAAAATGGGTAAGGACTAGGTTTGTCTGCGGTAAGGGAGTCGAGTTTTTAGCAGCGCACAACAGCGTGCTACGATTATGCATGTCGGCACGTTTTGTTGCGTCATCAATTAATTGCGGCGGATATTTTCGTTTGACTAGAGCATCCTTTAGTGTTCTGCAATTTTTTACAAACTCTGATTGCTCTGAGCAGATTCTTTTAAAACGTAAGGCCTGACTGTAAGGGATGCTAGTTTTGCAATTTTTCACGTGGTTACTGTCAAAGTGCAAATACTGTTGCCGGTCTGTAGGCTTCCTGTATAGAGCAGTGGATAGCCTATCATTTACAATCGAAATGCTTACATCAAGAAAACTAAGCGTTGATGGGGAATAGGTATGAGAAAATGATATTGATGAATGGACATCATTAAAGTCAGATATGAAGGAAAGCAACTCCTGTTCACCATGCGGCCAAATAAGGAAAATGTCATCAATGTAACGTTTATAATAAAAAGGTTTCAGCGCGCGGGTTTGCAAAAATTCACTTTAAAGCTGGCCCATGAATATATTGGCGTAGTTGGGTCAAATACGCGTACCCATTGACCCATTGATCCCTTTGATCCCAAAACTCAAAGCCCATTGATCACAAAACGTACCCATTGATCCCAGCATCGCTTCCGTCTTACGTAAGGACACTGCCGACTTTGTTTCTGGTATAATTGATCTGATTGTTCCTCAAGGTTACTTTTTGGTCACGCTAGACGTAGCGTCTTTATACCCCAACATTCCGCATGTAGACGGAATAGCGGCAGTCGCCAGGTCCTCTGAAGCAGCATCACCGGGTAAATTTATCGACAGAAACACATTAGCAGTATTGCTCAGGCTCATTTTAGAGCTGAATAACTTTCAATTTGAAGGGCAACATTATGTCCAAGTTAGCGGCATGTCAATGGGTACGCGTATTGGACCCAACTACGCCAATATATTCATGAGCCAGCTTGAAAGTGAATTTTTGCAAACCCGCGCGCTGAAAGCTTTTTATTATAAACGTTACATTGATGACATTTTCCTCATTTGGCCGCATGGTGAACAGGAGTTGCTTTCCTTCATATCTGACTTTTATGATGCCCATCCATCAATATCATTTTCTCATACCTATTCCACATCAACGCTTAGTTTTCTTGGTGTAAGCATTTCGATTGTAAATGATAAGCTATCCACTGCTCTATAAAGGAAGCCTACAGACCGGCAACAGTATTCGCACTTTGACAGCAGCCACGTGAAACATTGCAAAACTAGCATCCTTACAGTCAGGCCTTACGTTTTAAAATAATCTGCTCAGAGCAATCAGAGTTTCAAAAAAAATGCAGAACACTAAAGGATGCTCTAGTCAAACAAAAATATCCGCCGCAATAAATTGATGACGCAATAAAACGTGCCGACATGCATAATCGTAGAACGCTGTTGTGCGCTGCTAAAACCTCGACTCTCTCACCGCAGACAAACTTAGTCCTTAGCCATTCTGCGTCAGTTCCGCGTGTTTCGAATTTGCTGAGAAAGCACCACAATATTCTAATGCAAAGTGAACGCTTAAGAAACATTTTCACCGAACCACCTAAAGGAGTGTATCTCAAAAGTAAAACTATTCGAGACATACTCTCATCGTCATTATCGTCGAAAGCAGACAGTCCTGACACGATCGGGTGCTATCCTTGCCAAAAACCGCTATGCAAAGTATGCCCTTACATGGGCACATGCCAACAGGTCACCAGTACTGGTTCCAACTTTTCCTTAAAAACCAAAGGCAATCTTGACTGCGATTCTAAGAACGTGATATACATGATAGAATGTGCGCTATGTGAAATACAGTACATTGGTCAAAGAGAAGGGCCTTTTAGACTGCGTTTTAACAACCATAAATCTCATGCTAACACCTTGCCCCACTTGCCCATTTCAAGACACGTGCACCTCCCTGGCCACTGTTCTGAAAACCGGCAGGTCACATATCTAGAATCTGGTTTCCGCACAAATTATGATAGGGAAGCCCGTGAATCATTCCTCATCTATAAGTTCAACGCCGTCGCATCTGGTCTGAATGAAAACGTAGGAAAACTTTGTTGCCTATCTGCGTAACCCGTATCACCCTGTCCATCTTTTTTCAACCTTGCTCAGCAAGTCGCACTACATTATCTGTATCCGTTGATTACGTAGCAGCTTTGTAACGTCTTTGTCATTTTTCTTAGTATTTTATACTTTTTTTTCTTTTTTTCCTTTGCTTTTACCGGTCAGACTACTCTTCATGTTATGTGCTTTATTTGTTATGCGTTTTATTTTTTTATTTGTAAACAACGTGCTCGTGCAAGGAAGCAATATTTTTTTACTCGTAGATAAGGTACCCTTCATTGTGTGTGACTTGCATATATATATATGCCCATATATCGCCTTTCATGCTAGTTTTCATATTTGTATCTTACTGATATGCACATGTTTATAAACAGCACTCGTGCCATAAACTGTATTCTGATGAAGGCCGGACCCACGGCCGAAACGTCCTTATCTTAACTTCGTGCGTGCGTCTTCTTTCCTATACGAATAATCTCTCTTGGACCCAGCATCACTTTTGCTTTCGATATATATATATATATATATATATATATATATATATATATATATATATATATATATATTGTGTGTGTGTATATATATTTAGCCTGACAAAAAACTGGCAAGATGGCTACCTCAATAACGAAGCATAGCCCGAGCACGCGCTGCTCCAGATTCTCTTCCATCCTAGCGGAAAACCTTGCTCGCGCTCGTCGTACCTAGTGGCGAAGTTACGTTATGCGCCCTCTGAAAAAAAAAAGATGGCCATCGCTTCGATGCTGTTGGATTGCATTGGCAAAGTTGGGGCAAACCAGCAAAAAACACGGGCATGATACGAAAACAAAGCGATAAGGTTCATGCGCAGTCGCACTACCATGTGAAGCACAGCTTCAGTCGCACTACATGCACGATCCCTGAGGGGTGCCTTCGACACCGTGGCTAGAAGGTCTCGTCAGACACAACCTCTTAGTTCATATAACTCACGCGTCCACACACTGTGTACGGTCCCAAATAGCGACTGAGCAGTTTTTCTAAATATCCTTGGCGTCGAACTGCAAGGTCCGCACCCAAACTTGATCGCCTCAATGGTAGTCGACTTGTCGATGGCGAGCATTGTAGTGGCATGCTTCTGTACTCTGTAGTGCGTAAAGTGTAAGCATGCTACCTGGCGTGCTTCTTCAGCCTACTGGGTAAGTTGCACAGGGTCAGTCGTGATCAAAGCATCGCAATTCTCTGGAAGCATCGTATCAAGCGTGATCAGGACTTCACGTCAATAGACTATAAGGAAAGAAATGAATCACGTCGTTTCCAAGACGGTACTACTGTACGCAAATGGGACGTATGGTAGCACCTGGTCCCGGGTCGTAAGCTGCATATATACGCACATGAATAACCTGTCAGCGATGGTTTTGTTAAGTCGCTCTGTCAAGCCGTTGCTCTGCGGATGATATGCTGCGGTCTTGC